CAGCTCCCCTTCCTACACATACATACACACATACAATATAAAGTGTAAGGAACCTTGGTATCATAGTGGGGTCTGAGTTGGGCTGGTAAATGCAAGGTCAGCAGTTCAAATCTAAAAGCCCACTCATGGAAGAAAGATGAGGCTTCTGCTCCCATACAGGTTTTACAGCCTTGGAGACTGTAGAGGGTCACTATGATTTGGAATTGACTCGATGGCACAAAGCTACCACCACTATAAAGCAAGTAGTAAAGAAATGAGCCAACACATTAAAAGAATTTAGGTAAAGGGTGTACAAGACTATTCCTACAATCTTCCTTAAAATGTGAAATTGTTTTTGTTAAATGTCATCTAATAGCTGTTTCACTTCTAATTGTGTGTAGGATTTGTTGTTAAGTGCTGTCGAGTCAATGCCAACCCATAGCGACCCTGTATAGGGTTTCCAAGGAGCAGCTGGTGAGCTTGAACCAACCTTGCAGTTCAAATGACTGCAGTCTGACACATAAGCCCACAGCTAATGTGGATAAGTATTATAATATTAACCATAAGGTCAGAGGTTCAAGTCCATGAGCCACTCCTCAGAAACTCTAAACAGGGTCCTCGTTCTGAGTCAAAACCAACTCTACAGCATTTAACAAATAGCTGTTTCCAGGTTAGGGTCTGGGGCAAATGTTAACCATGTCCCACAGGTCAGAGCAGTAGGCAGAGCTTCCTCCTTGTCAGCAGACTTCAGTCTACTCCGCACCCTCAGGTGATAATTGTCCCACTAACAAACCTTAGGTAGGACAATCCCATCCAACCTGGCTCCCTTTTCTTAACAAGGAAATTCTGGCAAATAACTTAGTGAAATCAAGATGTTGCTGTGAAATGTCTTTGACTCGGTTCTGACCTATAGCGACCCTGTTACCGGGTTTCTGAGAGATCCTCTGTGAATGTGTTGGTAGACAAAAGCATTTCTAGAGCTAGGAGATGCCTAGTCCATTCCTGTTAGTCTACAAATGTTGACTGTCCAATCACCCTGCCAAGGAGATGAAGTGCTGCTCACTCCTGGCTCACTTGGCAGACACAGGCCACTTCCCTGTCAAGCACTGTGCTTCAGAAAGTGCTCGAGTAGACATGCTCAGGGCTAACAAAGCCCTCTTTTGAGTATTTCCTCAAGATACACAATCCTCTTTATTGGTAGTCAGCCAATAATACCACTCCTCTTGGTATGAATGTGTGAAGATGGGCTGCTTCCCCACAAGGACCAAGGTCTTCCCAAGGGGCCATCACATGCTGTGGCCCAATCATTCCTAGATATTAAGACTCAAAATGTCAAACTCATCAGAATCTAGAAGGCATTCATGAAAACTTAGCCTACAAGAACCTTCGCAGGCTTATTTCCAGAGGGATCAGGATTGTTTTATGACGCAGTCACGTACCTCATGTTCACAGCAGTGTAAAGAAAGAAAAAGGTGGATTTTTCTGTCCACTGATGTCTGTCCACACCTTTGCTGGAAAGAGGAAATGCCACAAATGCCCACTACCCAGGAGCAGGGACAAACGGACAGCATGGCTGAAGCAGCTCTAATGACAGAAGCCACAAACCACCTGTCCCGATGCTCTCCACCACGACCCAGCTACTGTGTCCATGTTCTTCTCACCCATTTCAGAGCTGAGCTCTGAAGGAAGAGCCTCCCTCCCATCACTGGCCATGGCTCCAGCTGAGCACCAGTGGCCTCACCTGCTCCCACCTGCAAAGCCTCGGAATTCTGAGGTCTAGTGCTGGCTAGGAACCTAATGTCACATTCCTGGTCTTCACAGTACCACCCCCCACCACCACGACCCCCGTCCACAGACGTCTCCCCGTGCCCACCTCTCAGCAATGCCTGCTTCTAGTCAGGAGGCTTCAAAGATGGTATCACTTCCTTGCTGACAGGATTCTAGATGCAAATTACCCAGCCCCCACTGCCATCAAGTCCTGCTCACAGCCACTCAGTACAGGGTTTCTAAGGCCATAAATCTTTACCAGAGAGCCTCATCTTTCTTCCAGGGAGCTGCTGACCTTGTGGTTTGCAGTTCAGGGCTTCTTAGATGCAAATTGTTAAGTGCCGTTGAGTCGGTTCTAACTCACAACTAGAGCTACCCTGTATAGGGGTTCCAAGGAGGGGTTGATGAGTTTGATCTGCCGACCTTGCAGTCCAGTCCATTATCCCACAACACCACACCAGGGCTACTAGATGCAAATCAGGTTCCTACAAATACCCTCAGATTGGAAGGCGGCCAGCTGGAGGCCAGCTTCCTGCCTGATGCTCTTGACTGCTGACAAGGCGGTGGAGATGGCCAGTGGAACTTCAGGGCTTCCAACAATTTTACAGCCTTTAACCCATGTATTATGTCCCTTTCTTCTGAACAGATACCTCAAGAGTTTGTTTTCTGTACTGAACTCTGACTCATGCCTATCAAAAGTGTGGCTTTTAGGGCTGACCCCGACCCCAACCCTCCCTCTACGTGTCTGGGCCACACAGAGCAATTGGGGGAATTCACCTTCTTTGATTTGGTCCTAAATTAGCTCTGGCAACCCCACCCAACCAGTGACGCAGAGTTAGCCATGGATAAGACACCTGTGAGGCTCCGTCCTCCTCCCCATGTGCTCCACTGCTCCTTCCATGCATTTCACATTTCTCTTCATAAGCCTTCACCTCACCCCTTAGATTTTGCCCAGGGTTCAGACTGAAGAGATCGTCTGATTCCAACCTCCCCACCTTCCAAAACCCCAACACGTGTGAGCCAACATGTGTAATGTACGCCATTTATCATCCTAGCAACAGAGGCAAATGCAGTCTGATCTGGCTGTCATTTCTGCCTAACGCAAACATGACTGAGATGCTGGCTTCTGACTTCCTAGCCTTACCAAAGCCAAGGCTTCTTTTCCTTTCTTTGTAAAACTCAAAGCGTAAATTAATATCCGTGGGTTTCGATGTGGCAGAAATGTTCCGTGTGGGAAGCAGACAACTAGTTGACTCTCTTCCGCTTTGACTGGCGGTTTGAGCTCTGGGCTGGTGGCAGCGGGATCGACAGAGTGCCCAGTCTGTGCTCCTCTTCCTGGTCGGCTGTCATGGACACCCGTCTTTTTGAGATCTTCAGCCTCATGGCTTTTGCTATCTCTATTATCCTAAGGAAGAAACGAAACAAATGGAGAGACACCTTTCAGTATGAATGCTCAGGGAGGCTTGGCAGGAGGGAGCAGTACATTAATGGTCCAGAATCCCAAAAATGGCCACTGGGAGCAATGCCTCCAGCAGAGAGGTAGGTAAGAGCCCCCTCGGATGGATAATTTCATTTTAATGGGTCATCATTACAAAATAATTAAACAGATGATGGAAAACAAGGATATCTAGATGCTTTTAATTACTTTCCTTGTTTCCGAAAACCAAGTTGTGAATGCATCCAGGGTTGAGCACTTGCTAGAATTTTACAGACTTCAAGTACCATCCCCTATTTTGCCACCTCAATGAGAAGGCCATTTATGGACAGCCTTCAGGACAGAGAGTCTGGTAGGGATTTGCTATAAGAGATACCAACAGAGGTATTTTCACAGGCTCTCCTGGAACACCATCAGGGTCCCTGGACATCAGATGCCCATAAATGACCAACAAAGGCCAACAAAGTGCCCCTATTTAGTCTGAATCCCTGCTAACAAAGCAAGATGAGGCCTTAAAAGTCACCCCTGTCCTCTGTCCCAGCCTAGCCAGGGAAGCCCAAGTGTGGCATTACTTCCAAACAACAGCTCTGCCTTGCCTTGGACACTTCCATCTGACTCCAGAAAAGTAACTGTTGCTTTTCTTACAACGTCCACCCATAGGCTATGCTGAACAGGACCACAGAGAGCCCTCCGTCCCCAGGGCAGCAAAACAGAATGAAGGGACAGAATGTTATGGGAAGCCTCAGCATCTATGTCCAACTATTCTTGGTTGTGTGATCTGGGAGAAGTCATTCACTTCTCAGAAACCCAAATTCCTCAATTGCTTTTTTAGGGAAATCAGTGAGAGAGTATGCCAGAGTCCCCAACTCTGCCTCGTAGAGAGAAGGGCCTCAGAGACACCTGGCTGCTCAGTCATTCAATCATTCACTCCCTGAAAATTGGGAGCTCTCTGATAACAACTTCCCTAGGCCCTGTCTTTACAAATCCCCAAGCCTGATCCTAAATCTTTCCCATAGGAAACATTCTGTCCCCTGTATGGTGCCTCATGTTTTCCAGGGGAGCTAGTAATCCAAGTGCATCATACTAGCCACACTAAAAACAAACAGAAACCTTTCAGTCCATTATCTGGGCAAACTTTGTAATACAAATGAACCACTGCAATCCACAGAGATTAGTGCAAGGCCAATTCATGGATTTGTGGTGACAGTACTCCCCTTTGGGGAGTTTCATACTGCTGTGCTCACCTCTTCTCACTGAGTTTCAAGTCCCTCTGTAACACCGTCAGGTCAATCTGGAAGTCGTATATATGCAAGGCGAGCACCAGCACATACGCCGTAATCTTTGCCTTCATTGAATCCGAAATTAAGTTCCGTAAACTGTAGAATCAGTGACAGTAAAGGAGATACAAAATTAAACTCTAATGATTCTTCCCAAAGCAAATACATCTAATCCTGTTTTCCTGTTAAGTACGTCATGCCTTCCCATCTTGGGAGAGGAAAAGGTACTCAGGCAACTCTCCACCTTGTCCCTGAGCCTCCACATAGGAGCCCTGGTGGCGCAGTGAGTGGAGTGTTGGGCTGTTAACTGAAAGGTCAGCAGTTCAAACTCACCAGTTGTTTTGAGGGGCAAAGGTAAGGTAGTGTGCTTCTGTACAGACTTACAGCTTTGGACACCCTATGGGGCAATTCTACTCTCCTACAGATGGACATAACGAGTCAGAGAATCAATTCAACAACAGTGAGTTTGGGGTTTTGTTTTGGGGGTTTTTTAAATTTTACTTTTTTTGAACCTTCTCACACAGTGGAGCAGAAAAAAGCATGTGCTTATGCCTTCCCAGGCAGTTTGAGTTTCCCACCAGTGAGGACTCTCTAAGTCTTTGTCCCTAGCCTACAGAGCAGAGCTGCTGGGAAAAGACATCTCCAATGCAGGGAGGAGAAGTAGGCAGCAAGGAAGCGCTGGTATACTGCTTGGGCTTCTCCCTCAAAAAGTCAACGCATGGTAACAAACAAGATGGTAGATCGGGTAGACATGCAGTAAAGGAGCTCCACCAGCAACAACACAAAATACCCGACCAAGCAGGCTCAGGGGATGGTCCCAGAACTCTGAACCACATATAAAGGAATATTTAGAAGGTTGGAAGGCT